CCATTCTTCCAGTTATTATAGCCTCTTTCCCGAGGTAAGTAGTAAATTGTCATCTGAGCAAGTACTGCTTATATGAGGCTGACATCAACAGCGTGAGTGGCCTCTCCACAGCTAGCCGATTAAGAATGTGGTCAGACAACTGCTGCATGTGTTTAAATTGGTCCATTTCAATACAATTCCTTGAGTAAGCAGGTATTAGTGGAATTCAGATTGGCTTCTTCCTTACGACGCTGCTGTACAATAATCGGCTTGTATCTACCAGTGCAGGATTCATTGCTCTGGCTAAATTGCTTCCCATTCCTAACTTGCTCAATTTCTTTGCCATCTTTCATCAATATTATTCACAGCCAATGTCAATTTGCTTTGCAACTCTTGGAGGCAGAACCATTTATTTCCTTTTTTAATTTTTATATAATGCCGTGTTGAAGAAAATGAGACATCATGCACTTATTGCACAGCACTTTTAATTTGCGATTTATGCTAATGAGAGAGGGAGCTAGGACCACTTCTTTTTGAAGGAAAAATTGAAATCTCGATTTTAACCAGACAATCCCCTTTTTAAAGCGTACAGTGAGAAGACAAAGCCAACACTTGCAAAATGCAGAAAAGAGATGCTTGTCATCAATGCACACAATAGGTGCATTGTAGGGCTGCGAAATATTGCTTGGCTATCGGTTTAGCAGCCACTTGGCAATTCTGAACGCGCTGCAACATTAAGTTATTATAAGAAGTAAACAGCGGGAAAATAAGGTAGATAAACTTGGTTATGCTGAAGGCACAATATTATCTATGCAATCAGACAAAAGTAAGTAGGTGAGCTCTTCATTTGTCGTGATCCTCATCAAGTATAATTGGTGCGTTAAGGAAGAAGACGGCGCCGATTCCCCCTTATAATAATAACGTTGCCATTCAGATTGATACAAGTTCATGTGCTGCCTGTGAAGAAAACATGACAAATGGATTTAGTGCAGGGATTACCGCACATATTTCACTGAATTTGTTACACCTCTTGCAAAATAAACCGCGAAATGTTTGCTTGAGGCTAGTTTTACTTTGCGTACGTGATAAACCTCATCTGGAGCATGTCAGTGGATGTTGTTTTGGATGTCCTTTGAATGGTTATTGAAGTTAAGCGGACTTCAGGTGGATCGCATGCGTCACACATAACTTCCTTCGTTTGTGGCCGTAGTGGGTATCGAGAAACATGTATCATAGCACTACTCTGTTAATGAAGTGAAGGTGTCATTGGGTGGTGAGTGGACCTTGAATGATTTGTCCGATCTCAGGAGTATATGAATGTAGACGATTTTTCAACACTCTATGTGGTGCACCCGAATGGAGCCAAACTTGCCATTTTGACTGCAAACGTGACGTCTGGCCTCCTCGCCTCTCATTGGCTAGTGAGGCAACATTCCGAGTACAGAAGTGTCCTCCTCCTCATTTTTCCTGTTTTCTCATTTTCCTTCAGCTGCGCCTACCGTTAGACTTATTTGTCTATACTGTTGTAAATTCACTGATTATACTAAACACATTCTATCGTCGGCTAACTTTGGTTGCTACTGTAGTACGCCAATGCTGCTTTAACCGCATCTGTCAAATTCTCACTCACATACGCTTCTGCTATCTTTTTCATCATCAACAGCACCATAGATGCGATCCCCATTTCTTTTTAACATGATGCTCAACCTCAATTTCCTGCTTTCATGCGGAATTCACCACTCTAATTGACCAATGCCATAAGCCGCACTGTACTGTCTCATTTTTGAAACCAAGCCACGGGGGAATACTTTTGTTTCATTTACAGAATAAGATCACCATATGAAGAAGTCACTTAAGTTCTGTAACAACGCAAATTGACCTAACTAATGCGAGAATAAGCATTAAGTGGTTGGTAATTTCTAGTTAGATAAAGGCAGTATGGTATATAGTGTGCATCGTTTAAACGTTTGGCATGAATAGATGTAGCTGATTATGAATGAATGCGGCTATCCTGAAGATCACCAGCATTAGACTATAGGCATACTTATTTGAACATGCTGCAATAATATGTCAAAATATCCAGCTATTAGTATTGTTTCAGGAACAACCTTCACATAAGTCAGTATTTTTTCTGCAGCTGAGAAAAAATCATTGCCAAAGATCAGAGTTGACAAACAACTCTAAGTTATGTCACCTTTGCGGACACCAAACGTCTCATCAGTAATGCTCTAAAAATTTGGACTGCGGAGTATTCCATTATTATGGTTTATAATGTAAAGCGGCTGATCGGACGTGGCTGCAAATATGAGGCAGTAAGTCTATATAGAGCACTGGCCATTCGAAGTAATAAATGAATTAGGCATGCCGGAAATCAAAGTAGGGTGCCGTGGTAAGACGAAGGGGGTCACTGACATTGAAATTTTACCTTTGCTGCTTCTGAAAATAACAAAAATAACAGAAGCCTATGAGAGGAGAAGTTGACGATGCGGCGATCACAGTGCTGGTGTGCTTTAATGAATACCAATGCCAGGTCATGATAGATACAGCCAAAATATTGAGTACAAATGTGTTGCGCCTCACTAATAAGTCAATGGCGCCTACTATTGCCCACAGTTTGTTCAAGAGGGTAGTGAGGTGGTGCAATGTGTTCGTCTTCTGTTTGGGTTGTGGTATCCTCAATATGTTCTTCTTGTCGACCGGTGTTGCCGCGAGTATGGGCAGTGAGGATATGGCTCTTGACTGGAGGATAACTTTGTCAGGAAGTCCAAGCATGAGCGTTAGGAAGAAACACGAGAGGTGAGAATATTCCTTTGTAACAAATATCATCCCTCTTCATTTACCCCCACCACTATTATTTAGCAATCATCTTCAAACATCTTAGAAATGGTCTCTATCGATGGAAATAAACATGTGAGACAAGGGACTAAATTTTTGTCTGTCCTGGACTTCCTCCTTTTTATATCGTAACCGAATATGCCTGTGAGGAGATGTTTAGTAGACATTAAGTCACTGCGAACGTCTCACAATTTTTCACTTATTATTCCACCCTGCAAACTAAATTTTCTCTAGAAGCAAACTGCTTGGTGTTATACTCTTAACACTTAATAGTAGGGTTTTTCCCCGATCAATTTACAAGTCATGTCTGTTTCTGACGAAAGCAAAGTCCTTTTTGCAGGCTTTGCAGTTTTATCTGATCATGTAGTGGCGAATCGCATTGGGAAGATGGGATGCAACCGAAATTGATGTCCGGCGTTCAGGGCATAAACAACAGCGCTTAAAGTCGCAATACGCCAATTAACGTACAGGAAACTAGGACAAAGGCCAATAAGAGATATCGTACCGATAGACTAACTCGTGTCCATTCTTGACAATGTAGACCTTTAAATAACTGCACTTTGTCCATTCTCATAAGCCACAAGGGGGGGGGAGTTTCAGTAAGTCATTCCGAGCATGAGAGAACTTTTTTCTAGGAATCTTATGCACAACTTTGCATTGTCGTGCGTTGCTTAATAAATTACCGTGCTTAGAATTAGCTTCTATGTGCTTTTCTGTCACTGTTTCGGGGAGCATTTCCACGTAAAAAGCGGTAGTTTCTTATAAAACTTAAGAAACTACTACAATTGATGAAAATCTTCAAAGGGTTTTACAGACCTCTACTATACACAAACTTGAAAATATGTCTTTAGAAAAGCACAGCTTCCAATGAAGGAAAGAAATGAATTAATCATTACATGCTGTTTTATTGTTTCAGTTCTATTAGCCACCATTAAGCATTGCCCCACTGACTTATTATTTTCTGCATAATGTAGGGAACCACCTCTGAGTATCAAAATGTTCTTTCAGTGCTGCACTTTTAAAGGTTATTTTTCCCTTCAGCGCCCCTAACTTGCATTAACAACCTTGTCACCCTTTTGCTGTTCATTTTACATTCAGTCTGTACGTCATGTCAGTTGGCAGCTTTCAGTAGAATTTGATAAATCGAATTACATAGTATTAACCCTGGAAAAAAGGGAATTCTTAAATTTTGTACTATCCATCGTACATATGATTCGCCAAGCTGATGCATAAGTTAAAAACACTTATTGTGGTAATGGAGCTAATTCTGACTGCACCTCTGAGCTCATAGATTATCTCTCATTAGTAAGATAACGGATTTAGTAACAGTGTTTATTGACCCCCGCCTTAATTCCTCAGTTCACCCTCTTCCCTGATTCGTGAGTTCAAGAGGTCGGTGTCTAGTCGTACTTTATGGTTTTTGCTCTTCGGAAATGATTTAAGATGAATCAAAACTGTTGACTTAGAAGTGACAAGGGAGACGACTCGACAACAGTCAAGTAGAAAATGTGTAATAAAGAGTTGCTTTGGATGGGTTATTTAGTTTAGGGATAAGATCAGTGCCACAAATTACGGTGCATTTCAGAATTGACTAATAAATCGTGCACATAAAAAACTCCCGTTTTGGTATGAGGCCGATCCATCGAACTTCATCTAATTGTGTGCAACAGTGAACAGGTTTATACACGCTCCCATCCACACAAAGCAGGATTTGCTTATGGAAGTTGTCGTGCAGAAAAGTGAATCTCTACAAAAGAGAAGTCTTCCTAAAACGGTTTTGACTACGGAAGTGGTAGTGGTATCGACAACTCTACAGAAGGTAGCAATTCCAAATTATGAGGCCTCATCTTCATCCACACCCAGGTATTCATCCAAACATACATAAGTTTTGATGAGTGATAAATGTGAAGTTTATTAGCTGTTTGGCTGGTTGATTTAACTGTAATTAGGAGCTTATTGAGGTGATGCTCTGTCCGAACCCAAGGACCCAACACCGCACCCAGCAAATGCAAATGCAGGTGGAGGAAAGAGTATTAGGCAAACGTATAACTCATTAGATACATCCTGGTGCTTCGAGAAAACGCAGGGCCATGATAAAAGCAGAACAATTCGGCTAGTAATTCGTTTCACTAATGGCTCCTCACTTGCTGGAAATCGGTGATCAATCGCACTCTGAACTGGTGGTGCTTAATAACACCTTAACGATTCGAAGACCAAGGTTTGAATCTTGAAACTGACCAAATGTTACAAGGGCCTGAGAAGAAATTAGGTCCAAACTTACATAACCTCAATCCCCATGCACTTTTATAAAGTTATTGCACTTGACCTTAACAATACTTTTCTCATTTAGAGATCTTATTGGAATCTTGCTACAATTTAAACATTAGAACGTGTCTGAGTTTAAGCTGATCTTCGAGGCACATTTTATGCTTCGGTGAAACAGATCAAGAAAGAAAGTCCATGCAATCTAGACAGCAGTCTCCTAAAGCGCCATTTAGGGTGCGTTAGCGTTATGATGCTATTAGCACTGCGTTGTTGCTCATAGACCAGCAGATTTTCATAGTCAACACATCCTTTAGTGCCATTCTAATGGTGCACAATAACTGCAATATTTCTCTCGCCATACTTCGTCCATCCCGGATTCAAAGCCTTAACAATTAGTAAGCTGTGCTTCCAAAAATAGCATCTAGACCTCACTTATTAACCACTCAAAAATGATAGATGTCCTATAGATGGGAAATCGGGTCAACTGCATTTATAGATAATAGTTAAATTCGATGACCAACGATGACCGCGAATCCGGAAAATGCCACAGCATCATACGGCCATTTGTAATACTCTTAACGTAATAGCACTACATAGTATCAGGAGCTCAGAGCCCAACCTGATTAAAGGCCCCTAGGATGACCAATACCCAAATTAGAATGTATCCTGCAAGATTAGTAATCCTTGGTGATAACATTGGCGAAAGAAATCAGACGCCATATCAATCGTCAGTGAAATGGTGAAAAAAGTCATCTTTGTGGCCTAATCCACTTTCCTTTTTAGCACAGGCTTAACAAAGTAGGATATTTAAAGTGAGCGATTCAGCACCTATCAAACTTTGGCCTGTAATAGCTAAAATAGGTGGTAGGGTGACATTTAACAGGTTCATCTGATCTATGACAACAGCGAATTTTCATCATGACAGACTGATAAGTAAATGTAAATCAAAAGCTACTAAATCTCTCTTTTGCTCCAAAGTCCAAATATTAACGATAAACGTACAATAAACTTCACTGTAAGTAAAACGCTACCTCTGGCTCCTTTGCTACTTTAATCTAACATGGTGCTGCATGCATATTGCGCTTTCGGCACTGCAGCAGAAAAGTGACTGAAATCAGTGGGGTCTGAAACTGTCATCAGCTGGTTGTTAATGGCCTTTCACCTACGCCAAGAGTGGACGTCATTCGCAGTCCCTTCGGACGATTCTGAGTAATCGCCGAAGCGGGGTGAATGGCACAATGCACAGAGCCCTTGAAGCTTTGTCACATAGCTGTGAAGTGGCTCAATTCGAAGTGCTACCTGTGGCTGTTACAATATGTAAGCAAGACGTACGGAAGCATTGAGTCTGCTCGCCTTCAAGAATGTTGCAGTGCCATTGTAAAATTCAACCAAACTTGCGTTATTGTCGCAACAATTGGCGGCAAGTCAAAACCAGCATTAAATCTTTGGTAAAATTGTCTGCTTGAAAAGAATTTCTTACAATGCAGTCCATGACTTAGTAGCACATAAGTCTATCACATTTTTTGTCGGTAACACAGAAACGCCACGTCAGGATAAACAAATAGTAGTAATTAAGCTCCAAAAACGTCCATCGTATGGCAACTTTGGAATATCCAGATTTATTTATAATAAATATTATTTCTGAAATTCAACTGAAAAGGAGAACCCCCCTTTACGTCCACTCCTTCTTAAATCTATCTTGTCTAAAAACAAAACAAACGGCATACGGCAAAATTCTATTGCAGTTAATTCCCAAAAAAAACAAAAATTCTTAAAAACTGTACATCTAAAGAGAATGCTAAGACGTTGCTATCCATTTATTACATTGAGATACAATTCTTGAAGCATGGTTTACCTACAGTAAGAGTTTTACCTTGCTTGAGGAGGAGGCCACGTTGTCATCAAGTGACATTCCTGGTGGTTTTAGGCAAATTAAACCCGAATTAGGACTGCAGTCACATTTGAGCTATGACATAGACTTTGTTTACCAAGATAAGTCCTTCTTGTGAGAAATTTATTGGTACAGGTGAGAGGCTTCTCGCCGAACAACTCCTGAAGCAGGACCGAGGCATCACTAGGATGGTAAATTATATTTGAGCAATTTAGATTAGCTAACAGGATGTTTACACCAAAAAGACTACAAACGTTGGAACACCAATAACAAAATTGCACTCTCAGATTCAATTTGGAGCCGAAAGGTGTCTGCTCATTAAAGTTGGGCCATAGGTAATTCTTATTCGAGTAGAAATTGAAAAAACGCATTAATGGTCTAAAGGACAATTCGATTCTGACAATAAAATATAAAGTAATATGTGAGTAATCTAGAGTAGCTAACAGGATGTGTGCACCGAAAAAGACTACGAAGGTTGGAACGTTGGCTATAGGTAATTCTTACTCAAGAAGAAAATGGAAAAGACATCGATGGTCCAAAAGACAATTCGACTCTAAAAATAATTCATTAGTATCACGAAGCCAGCAGAGGAGAACGCATCAGTCTATTTGTGTGTCAGTTTAGCTGACTCTGCTTGCCTGTAGTCGTTGGGGTGTTCGTCTTTAAAAGAAGCTCTGCATTGTGCTTTTATTGTGGCTACTTTCAGGTGGATCGTTAAATATCACATGAAGTAATGCTGTTATGAAGCAGGCAGCATCAATTTGAGGGGCCTCTGTATCAATCGCAGAATAAGCATGTAGTCGCCAACTATTAGCGTGTTTCAACTGACCTGGAATATGCGAAATCTGGAGGTAAGGCAGTAACCGGTTACAACTATGATGCAGCATAATCGGCCTTTTTCCAATGCGGGATGCTCCACTCTCTTTAAATCTCACTCCACCTCC